ATCTTAGCCAAGTCCCTGCCTTCAATCATGTGATGACTCCCAATCTATCTCCAGCTTTGAGGTGTCATTTGAACTACAGTACAGATCTCCACTTCAAATTTAACGTCTGAAACTTAAAATTTTCCTCTTCCACCAAAAAAAACGGTGTCCCGACAATTCTAATGTTATTATAGGTATAATAAAAAAAAACTTTGTCACCTTCCTTCCCCTCTACTCTCGACATCCTGCCCACTCTGCCCGTACAATGAATCCCACATCTGTGTCCACTGTTTGACCTCCATTTTTCTCAAATGCCAAGTCTCTGCTCAAGATATCCCTCTGCCTTATCCCACAGTACAGTGGTTTGGTTTTTTGTTTTGTTTTTATTTTTCACCTGGGGTAATAATGATGCTATTAGCTTCTCGGATCATGTCAATTGCATTGTCAAGGTTGATTTCTGTATGTGTGCCAGAAACCTCCATAGGTTTTCCACCAGCTGTTGAAGTGGTACCATAGCCTCCAAGAATCACATTAGCCAGGGAACGATTCATAGCCTGGGGGGCAAAATTATCAGCTGTAAAAGTTGAATCCACATAATTGTTTGAGAATTATATGAACCTCATGCGCATGGTACTCATCACTTAAAGAGGTTTATTTTATCATTTAGCACATTTTTACGAGATAAACTTGTTCTAGCTTCTAAAATTTATTTCAAAAATTTACATGACAGAAGGAATCTGGAAAGCAACAGCATTTTTTTTTTCTACCAGATCAACTGCATGCTGACATATTTTCAGTGAAAAGGTAAATTAGGATAAAAACATTAATGGGTAATTTCCAATAAAAATAAGATATTAACAAAACATTCAGATCTACTTATTATTGCCAGGATACTGACTGAGCAAGTTCTGCCTTCATATTTATGTCTATTTCCCTAGAATAAAGAGGACTAGCAGAAATGACCAGAGCAGGAAATTTTACAAGGAGATCCTAGAGATCCCTCAGGTGAATTCTGCTATCAGCTGTGAATGTGTCAAGAAGCAGCTGGAAAGAATCAAAGTAACAGGGATCCATGTCATTTAGAACTCTACTTTCCTCTGCTGTCTGGAAAAAAAAAAGAAATATGGAGACTGATGATGCCTTATTTCCCAAATCAAATATAGCTACATGAAGTTCTATATAAGTTGTAATAGAGGTAACTATCACTAAGCTCCGAAAATATTTCACTTCTAAAGGTATAAATAAATAAAGTTTATACATTGTGTCTTTAAAGTTTAAACCCACCTTTTTAACTAGAAAAATAACCTCAGGAGAAAATAAGAGGCAGGGATTTCTCATCGCATAGTCACTTATAATCACCCAACAAT